CCTAAACTCCTAAAACCCTAAAGCCTAAACCCCTATACCCTAAACAATTTCACAGTTCCGCATCCTAGTGTTCGCAGGAGGTAGCCGGCTCCTTGTTCAAATGCCGGCACCAAACATGGACATGTGCATCATGGTTTCGCCCAAAAATGTCAAGAAGTTCTTCAAAGAACGCCCCTAAACACTTAACTCATAAGCTGGGGTAGGATGAATGTTTCTCTAAGACTAAGGCTTGTTAGTTCCCAACCCTGGGCCTGGTATAGAACGGATAAAGAAGGATCCCTAATTCGCGGCCCATACTAACACAAGGCACCATGGCTCCTTAACCCTATAAACCTTCAGCCTGAAAGCCCAACCCGCCCTCAAACCCTGTAAACTTTGTAAGCCCTAAAGCCCCAAACCGTTAAGCCCTCAAACCCTATCAATCCTAAAGCCCAAAGGCGAAACCTCTGTAGCAGTCTGCGAGCCAAGGCCTTAAAACCAAAGGCCTTCAAACCTAAGGTCGTGCAGCAGCTGGGCCGTGACGGAGCGCTAAAGCCGCACAGCGAAGTGCATGGCCCAGTTGGTGGGTTTGCTTAGGAAGGGGAGAGGAGATGAAGGATGTTAATGTGTGTGGGATTCAGTGTCTTGGGCTTGCTGGTGCTTAGTAGGGAATGGAAAAGAACGTGGATGCTACTACCGCAGCATTTACAGGGTTTAGGGTTTAGGGTTCAGTGTTTGCGGTGCTTACCGGCTTAGTGGGCCATGCTGGAATGGAGTACAGGGACGGTTACAGGAGCAGAACTCTGCAGAAGTGATGCCACAAGGGTACTACTTGTTTGACATGTGGCTCCGCAAGATCTCGGGGTAGGGATTGGAATTTTGACATTCCGGAGTTTCTAGTTGTTTGCTTCAAGATTGAGTGTGCAGAGTTACAGGTCGAATTCTTTGACAAAGGAGGCTACATGTGTGAAGGGCAAGGACCCTCTTTCGAGAGTCTCACTGTTGATCAGCAAACGAGGTTGTGGCTGCTTTCGCGCCTGGGAGCTCGTCTCACCCTGTAGTTAGGGAGAAAGTCCTGCAGCTTGTAGTAAGGCGAATTTTACAGAAGCTATGGGTGGTTCGTAGCATGCTGCATAGTCTTTGAGGTGGTTGGTAAGCCATCATCCCATTTGCCATGTGACATCGTGGCACCCTGAGCTCTAGCTAGCTGGATCTCAACATGATGGTAGTAATTGGAGAAACAATAAACGCAACAGAGATAGCAGTTCAATGATCAAGGCTTACGTAACTTGCCGTACTAACGAAACTATGCGCAAGACATATGCGCATACTATGTATGCGCGCAAGGGATGCCGAATTCAGCGCAGCAACGTCTCACACCAGACACTGGAGGCCCAAGACCATCTGGTGCAATCTCCGTTAACGACACGTTCAAGTCCCGTTCAGGTCGCCAGCCTCTTCAAAACCTACTTTGCTGCTTTACCCAGTGTTTCGTGAGTCACGGGGCCACATTGAGTTAGCAGTATCCAGAGCGGTGGATTGCACATATGTAGAGCAAGGCTACTGGATAGAATCCCTTTCGCTGCTCCGACTTGTTTTCCCGCTTTGCTTAAACATCTCTTGTGGGGTTGTGAAGGTAACCAGTATTGGCTCACCCGGCTGATACGCCGAACTTGAAGAAGATCACATGAAGCCTTCGAGACATGCAGCTCATGCGATGTGCGCTCGCATCTCGAAAGACATGCCTTTGCAACTGAGAACTGCTTAGCGGCAGCGGCTCAAGGAAAGTTGTAACCGAGCCTCTAGTAATTCTAGTCCTGCCTAGCAGCGCCTTCTATGAAGCCGGCAGGCTTAGACCGATGCTACCGGGTCGCAGTATGAGTGCAAATTGCAGTATCAGAGTGCATTTACCTGCCCCCTCTTTTTTCCACTCCAGCGTCATGCTCGGCATGCGTCTCACCTCCAATGGACAATCGCAGCTCACTTTCGACGAGGTGCCAAGTGTAAGCTCTGACTCTGTTCGGCTGTTTGGCCCAACTATGATACTTGCTGTCTCTAATGGTCTTTGCAACGCTCAGATGGTGGTTTTTAAACCTTCCATTGCATATTCTGATGATTGTTTATGTGAGAGTGGTGTTGGAGTGAGCATGGTTGCAACCTACAATTCCTCTGACGCAGTTCCTCATGCGGCTTGTAGACATGAAGAGGTCTTCAGTTTCTGCGTATTGCGTATGCTTGCTTGACTCCTTCGTACGCTTCCAACACGTCTTTTGCAAGAGCATGTATGCAAGCCAGATGACACCATTTGCGTTACAAGTTGTTCGAATTATGGCCTGGGCTTTGGGGTTTAGCGTGGCGGAGGAGTTAGACATGAGGAAGTCCATGTTCATACATTGGAAGGGACTGGTGCCTGTCAGCTCGATATGGCAGTTGGTGACGGTGGGGCTCACTGTTCAAGGTCCTTTGTAGATGCAATCCCCTGTATGCGGGATACCTATTTTGCCTTCCCCTATAGAACTCCTATTTCAAAAGTGCCCTGTATGATGCTTTTATGTCTTTTTTGAAGCAGTCGTTCTCGGGGGCTGCTCCCGCTTTCTTAGTGGCGGAGCCGCTGAGCATGACTCTTGGACCGGACCCCATTCAGGTGTGAGTCCACTAGACACGTGAGCCCTTTTCTGAGAAGTAAGCGCCAGTATTTATGCAGTAAGCTAATGAATACATCTTAAGTTCCACACTTTAGGGGACTTTTCCTTTGGTTCCCAGTTTGGCTTTCTGGGCTTGAGGGCATTGAGACAAACGTCACCCACGCACCTGTTGCGGGTAGATGTTATTCTGCCCCTTTGGTTCTTGTTGTTACTCCGATGCTCGTCGCAGCTTCATATTTATGGCTACTGCCATTGCTCATATTTTGCCTTGTTGGCGCACGTCCTTAAACCCTAGTTATCCGTTCGAGCACGTGAGTTCGTCGTGCTAGAACTGTCAGCTCAACTGCACAGGTTCCAGCTACTGGCCGCCTAGACGAAGTGTTCAAACCCCAAACCTTTAAACCCTAAACCCTGAAACCCTCAACGTATGTTTCCGCGTCAGGTCAATGGCCAGCAGGCACCAGTCCTGAACCTGGAGCTCACGTTGCAGCTCCCGGTCTTGAACCTCTTGAAGGTGCCAAGGGTTGAGAATCTAGGCTGCGATGTCGGGTTCAGGGTTTACAATGGTATACAGTCATTTGAAGCATGTTCATGGTTCTGAGGTTTTGTAAGCGAACCCTACCCAAACCCAAAAGCCATAACTTCCAAACCCTCAACTTTGAACTGTGGTACATGCTTGCTGCCCTGGCTGGATGCCCCAAAACGTTGTACCATGGGTAAGCCTCGAAACTCCAATGCCTTTTTGGCAGCTTTTGGGAAGCATCCTGAGGGATTTCAGGGAGACCCTTGTTTTGTTTTTTGTTCCGATGTAAGCTCAAATCTAGCCTTCAAGTCCAGAGCATCCTATGCCCGTTTGCGTACTCAGCTTGTGAGCTGTGTCACATTTTGTTACCATTATTCTCTCTCCGCGCTTAAGCCCGTGACCCAAATTCCTATCAAGCCCAAGTTTCGAAAATTCAACCCCCAGAAAATCCGTCACCTTTGAACTCAGTCCTTAAGACTGAAACCTCGATGCTCCAACCTTCATTCCTGAACTTCGAACTCGCAGGTGTTGGGAAACCACCGCGTCGATGCTCCCGACAGTGGAAATACCGGGAAGGAGCACGACGTGCCGAAGGACCGCGTGTGGGGTCATAGTGGGTTGCGGGATATGATGCAAATATTGGAGAATTGATGGAAAACAACAGAGAAGTTACTGTCTGGGGTTTGGGGTTGGGTTCAAAGTTTAGGGGTTCAGGGTGTAGAGTATAGAGTAGAAGACCCTTACCTTGTCAATAAAAGGGTTTCTGAACTTTATGGGGCACCCTACTTTTTTATTGAGACGTACCCATCTGGGATTTCACCAAGGGATGGGGTAGAATGATCAGCAGTTGTCGTTCAGGAACTTGCGGTGCTCCGCAGCAGTTGGAAGGGAGTAAGTAAAGTAAGATTTGGTCACCCCCACTTGTACTGTCACTTTGCGTACATCATGAAGGACACAAAGATGAGGTGAAAACTACACTGCACCTAGCGTCCGCGTATCCACATCGCAGAATGAAGCGTGTGCAATGGAAGACTGTGTGCAATCCATTGCAAAGCCGCTAATGGATGGGGCAGGGCGATGTTCACCTTCGCGTGGTCTTTAGATAGAAGCTGTAAATGTAGCATATGCCCAGAGAAGGACCACGGCCGTACATGAGGAGTCCTGCTTGGATCAGTTGTCCCCAACTGGCAGTCGACCCCCAACCCACTATTGCTCTGAACGCGTTGTTCAATATGACTCTTATTCGGGGACTGCACTGTGCACAACGTGGCGAAGGTAGCCAAAAAGAGAGCTTTCATTTGTTGACCCGTTGACTTGAGCCTTGGCCGGGATTAGATGACGTGCAGTACGTGCTTTGGGAGAGTCTTAACCAGAAGTTTCCACTAGCGCCCCGTGTCCGAAATGCAAGATGATCTGTCCTGATGAGGACAAGCCTGTACCAGAAGTGAGGCCTCAGCATGATTCTCCAGCGTCCGAAACGAAGGAGGAAGAAGAAGACGGGCCTCTTGAAGACGACTTGGATGGGTCTGACTCTGATGGTCCTGGTGCTGAAGCCTCTGAGGGTGTCTGGGCGGAGGACAGTGCCCAGGATTTTGCCGAGCTCTGGGCACGGCCGATGCAGGCAGACATGGCATACATGGCCAATTGGCAGTCACTTGCTTTTCCCAATGGGTTGGTTTTCAGAGTCAAGATTTTGCGTTTGTTGTTTTGCCACTTAACTGAGGGGCAGTGTTTCTGAATGCCAAGGCCACTGCCAAACCGCGAACTCCGTCTCGAGGACCTTTCGAAGACGAAGCCCCAAGCTGATCAGACAGAAAGCTTGGGTTTGGACAGCAGGCTCTGGCTGGAAGTCCTAGATCAGCTCCAGCAGATGTGTAAGAGTATTGTCTCCTCCAACGAGTTCCACGTGGCCGTTTTGCAGTCACAGGAGAGGCTTTCATCCAAAATGCGTGACTTCACGCTTTCATTGGGCGACCGCATGCAGAATCTCTCAATCAACATGAAATCCCAAACTGCAGGGATCGCCCGACGTGTGGAAGCCTTGACAGACAGCGTAGACTCTTTACCACAGCCATCCTCAAGCCATTTCTGGGGCCCGAAGGCTACGGCGCCTAAGAGCAATCCTCGCGGCCCCGTGGGAGCAGGACCTCCCTATGCCCGACGGTCTGCGTAAGGCAGTAGGGTTGATGGTTTACCCTGACCAACGTGTCAGTTTGTTCGAGACTGGGCTGCCTGGGCAAGCAGCTATGAGCAGCTTCCCTGTGTATTTTGGGATTTTTGAAACTTGAGGATCTGTACACATTGCGATGCAGAGTAGAGATGAAAGGCACCGGATGCTGGCTGCTTTTTTTGAATGAGCGCAACACAGCTTGGTTGTACGTAACTAAGCAACAGTAGCATAATTTCAGCATGTGCCCAGCACTGGCATGAACCCCCCGTTTTCTCTTGAGCCCGAACTTTGATACGGAACACTGACTGTGCAGTCCATGTGCTGCAAACAGACCACGAAGTTACCCTTGCCCCAAGCTGACGCGTGCCCTATTATCAAGTCTTGAGATGGACCTATCCCTGCAGGGAGAATCACAACGGTACCGCTAGAGGCATCCCGGATCCAACTGCATTGTTGCAAACTCCAGCCTCAATACCGCAGATGATTTTTTGCAGCCCACAAGAGCGAACATCACATGTGCTCAGCCAATCATCCACTTACCCTGCTGTTGTCGTGCCCACTGGTCCTTCTATGCAACCCCTTGCCTTGCAGCTCTTCAACACCAGGGGCATGTAGATCAAACAATTCCAAACAATTCTGTAAGCTGAACTGACCCGTACCCCTGAGAAACATGTGGGCTTGGCTTTCTCAAGCATTTTCATGAGTCCAGCACAGACCCATGTTCGAAGCATTGGGAACACTATTACAAGCGTGCCCCCCTGCATGAAGATTTTATGAGCCCCAAAAGGAGCCCAGTACACGGGTTAGTGAGTCTGAAAGCGTGGCCCTAAACTCTATGCCCTGGAGCCTACACATCCTAGTGGCCGGCCTGAATAGTTAGGAATTGCTCCATGCATAACCCTGGAATTATGATTGTACACATGCCCCAAACCCTGTTCTTATCACCCAGGCTCCTATTGAACAGAAAGGCTCTCCAGGCTCTGTGGAGGCATTTTAGTCGGCAGATGTAGGCTTCAGTAGGCTTCATGGTATTGGGCAGGGCATGGCCTCAGAGGAAGGAAAGGTCTTGCTTTTGCGAGGCTGCTCCTTGAGGGTGCTAGGAGTAAAAATCCGAGCTTGCCAGCCTCGGCGCTAGACAACGTGGACGGTCACAGCGATGGTCACATCTAGCACCGAGAGTGAACATACAGACAAAAACACACATGCTTGGGATTTCCTTCAAAAATGCGCAAGAACGCGGCCGAATGTTTGAAAAACACCTTGGTTTTGAGATGCCGATCCACAGCCCAAAAACGGACGAGACTTACAAATGGGACACAACGACTTGCACAAATATGATCCTTCAGCAGTGCAATCGGGATTGGAACCACGCAATGGCCATCCGCAAGCCATCTGCTTCTGCCGATTCTGCTGGTGTTGACGAACCCGATGCTCTCATCGGTGATGTCTTGGTGCTGCTTGGCTGCTTGGTCCGGTGAACGCGGGCACATTTGGCCTTGCAAGCAGGTGCACCTTCTTGCTGGGTGCCCTTAAACGGGACCGGGCCTGGACTTTTAGCAGCATCTGTTGTGAGACCGCGGAAATCGACACATTTTGGAAACCAAGGCTTGGCTTCTGCGGGGTGTCAGTAGTCAAAGACCGAAACGTCGAACGCCCGCCAAAAAATGGAACCGGGAGCCGAGCAGTGCAGGGTTTTTTTGGTAATTTTCGGCAGCTCTTGTGCACCAAATTTGAACTTAAACGAAGGCATCAGGTCGTAATCGCTCCTCGCAAGATCTCCGCATGGTACCAAACAAGGAACGCAACTCCAAACAATTGCTGATGAGCTCCTGAAGCCGAAGCAACAAGAAAGGTTCAAGGGAATGAGATTCTGTTGGATCAGACCGCATAATGGCATCCATGAACAAATGTCCATTTCTCGAAGCACCACACAAAGGTAAGAATGGAAGAGAGAGCCTTTTTTCTTCTCCATTCTCTACTTGCTGTTGGGCAGAAATTAGTTGCCGCCGTCTGACATGCGCACGGACTTTTGACACGTGCACATGGGTTTCGTTGTCGCGGGCGCGGGGCGCGCCCTCGCTGGCGTGGGCGCGAGGATGTAGAGATTATCCAAAAAAGCCAGCAATCGCTCTCCGCGTTGGAGCTGCGAAGATGCTTGCTCCAGCCCTCCGTGCTGCCCTAGCGACAAAAGGGCAGGGACGAGGGCATCACCTTGCTCACAACCTTCGCCTTGCTGGATGTCCCGGCAACGCCCGTCGGCCTCCCACCAGCAATACGTCGAGGGCTGCCCATAAAACAGCCGCACGAACGGCAGCAACTCCGGCGCCGCGGCCTGCAAGGCTGTGAGAAACGAAGCACCGGAGATGGTGTCGTGAGCGCTACGCCCATCCAGGGGCACGAGGGTGGTTTGGCCTTCGCAGCGCGGTCCGACATGCACCTGCCGCCCATTGGGCTTCATGGGCCGACGCACATCGTGCCATTTCTCACAGAAACCGGCCCTTTGCCTCGCGGCTCCTTGCTCTCCTCAACTCAGATGCGGCCTTGCCAGCGCCACCTGCGGCACTCAAATTTGCGCAGGTGTCCCTCCTCGCGCTCGTCTTGAAACCTCCAGCTTGGGATGCGGGGCTGGCAGCGTTCAGCATCCCAGGCAATTGACGATGTTGACCACAGCTGTGCTCCGTGAACTGGATGCACCGTCCAGAGCCCTGTTGGACTCGCAGGCTGGACCGTTTGGTGCGCGTGTCCCAGGCCCTGCTGCCCTGAGCTCGTGCTAGAGACGCCGTTATTCCGCACCATTTTGTTGCGCTGGCTCCGATTGCCATTGTTTCTCACTTCAGCCCTCTGCCGGTGCCGCCAGCGCCATGACCAATATGGCGATCACGTTGCAGCCTGTCCGCGGTCAGGCGTGTTGAGGTCGCGTGGCGGCCCGCTTGAGCGAGCAGCCGCTCGCGTCTGCCGGGAAGCTGGGGCTGCCGTTGCGCGCAACGTCTTGGTCAGAGACCTCAACATCATTCCTGCCAGAAAAAATGAGCGGCGGATCGAGGTCATAGCCAACGGGTTGCCCCTCTGGGGGGGGGGGTGCAGCTAGCTGTCGACACCACCCTGGTCTCCCCCCTCACTGCCGCAGGAGCCCCACAGCGCGCTGCAGGACGTACTGAAGGGGCTGCCGTCCAACAAGCCCGCCGGGCCAAGGAAAGAACATACCCTGAGTTTTCCAGGGCCGCCCGTGCTCGACTAGTAATCTTTGCCGTCGAAGTTGGCGGCCGTTGGAGTTCTGAAGCCGCCGGCTTCATCCGCCTCCTTGCCAGGGCCCGTGCCAGGAACCGCTCAGCCTCATCATGCGCGGCCAGCATCTCCGCGTACACGCAGCGATGGTCTGTGCTCCTGTCATTTGCCGCTGCGCGTTCTTTCGCTGCCAGCCTCTGTCCTTCCCTCTCGCTGGCACCGCAAACGTTGAAGGAGATTCGCCCCTCCTCATCGATCTGCTTGCAGACTCCACTGTTTCTCCGCCATTTGCCAGCCGCATGCCTCAGCCGCGAGAGCCTGCTTAGAGCCTGTGGCGTGGACTTGGCTCTTGCACTGAGACCGCTTCGCCTCACTGCAAAATAAAAAGAGGCCATTCGCTCTGGTGGCACGTGGCTTTGTCGCCTGGCGCCAAGGGCCCAGCAGTCAAAACATGTCGCGCGTGCACCCCCCCGGCGCACCAGCGCGCAGACGGTCCCGAAACGTTGTAGCATGGCAGCATGCGGGTCGCGATCCCGTTGCGGCCCATGCTGCGCGCAGTCCCGGGAACGCCCGAGCAATATGAGATTCGTATTTCCTCATTTGCAGAAATGTTGCAGATGGATTTTGCAGATTTTTGGCGGATTTTTCGGAGGACAAACCAAGGTTGCAGATGTTTTGCACTTTCTTTTTTGGCAGATCATATAAAAATACAGAAGCACAATGGCAAAATCTAGAATGTCTTGCAGTTTGGCGTGAGTTTCCCCGAATTTTCGCAGAGCATTGTGGGAAATTTGGTATGGCGACGTCCATTGCGTTGGAGCTTACAAATTGAGCATGAGTGCTTCCTTTCTTTCCTTCGTGTGAACATTTTTGTTGCCAACACATCGAGTGAATTGAGTCGCTCCTGTAAAGACTCGAGTCGAGTCGAGTTGCAGAAATATTGCAGCCAACCATTGCCGAAGTGTTGCAAAAATATCTTAGAAGTGTTGCAGGCTCCGCACAGCCCCCGC